CGCAAGGCAACGGATCGACAACTTCACTGGGTCTCAGAAGAGCTCTGGGCGTTGTTGACGGAACATACCGCGATGGGGATGCAGAGTGTCTTCCCATTGTTGGGATGGATGGCCGCAGCTCGCATGTCAGGAGGCTGTGCCTCCTGCAAGGACGTACGCCGTTTGCCCAGCTAGAATGCTCCGTTTCTCACTACCTGAACCCAAATCAGCTTCTGCAAGAAACTGAGGAAGCAACTATGCCTCGAAGTTTGTTCCGTTACATCTAGTCGCCCAACAAGAAGCAGCTACCGAACAAGCTGGCCAAACGAAGCACGAGCCAGAATGCGATCAAGACGAAGTGCGAGCATCGAACCAACTGTGCTAGCAGGCTTGAGAGTATAAAGCCGGACCAGGAGAGCCTAGACGCGGATGCTAGAAGCGCTGGCAAATCAACAAAGCCTCAATACATGCCCCAACAGATTGGGATCCCTGTCATCAAATGCTCTGAGAGCTACTCCCAACTTGCGCCCTCCTGCGCCCTCCTGCGCTTCTAAAGCGCAGCCTAACGAATTCAGCACACTGCATTCGGCCAAGGAGCCCGACCCCAGATCCAGGGCCCCCCTGCTCTGAATGCATGAAGGACTGAGCAGTAGATCACATCCAACTGTGTCGGATCTCCGGGAGACGTAAGATGCGTGGCTTTCCAATCGTGATAACTGAGAGCACTGCTGCTCACTGTCCTTCGGCCTCTATCGCCTTTTTAAGGCGGGCCTTGTCGCCCTTGCTCACGTTTGCACAGATATCATCGACGTCCTGCCAAAGTTATGGTGGCCAGCACTGAGTGTTGGCATTGGGTTGGGGGTTCCGGGCTCACCTCAGTGCAAAGCTGACGTGATTACATCTTTGGCTCCTCGGATATGAAGACATATTGCATGCAGCCACGCACTGAAAACTCCCAAGCTTCCATTTGGCTGTCTGACCCCTTTATGTTGACAGTTGATGAATCAAGCATACCAGGGTTTTCTCGATGAGGAGCATCATCTAGCTGACACAGATAGTGGGCCACGTAGCATGCAGCGCCTTGTCGGTCAGGTACGAGAGCTCACTTGAACTCCTCGAAACCAGGTTTGCGGGTTCTTGCGGGAAACCATGAAAGCAGACAGGGCTCCAGTTTGCAGGCTCAGTACACCATGCATCACTAACCTTGACACTCCGCACTCAAACCCAGGCGCTCTATATCTCCCAGAGCTCCCACGACAAAAAAGTCTAACTGTCACGTTCACCAAGTCGATCCTGATACCCTCTTGCATGAGCACTGCGAGGAGCTCCGCTGACAAATCATTTTGCTCCTGCCATACAAGTGATTCAAATCCAGGTCCAGGGACTAGGTAAGTCAACCCTCCCCGTACCCGCAGCGAAGGGCTGGAGGGGGCCTGGGGCTCTCCGGCCGGGGGGGCCGGCTGTGCATGCGGAAATCCATGCAGGACATGAAACAATGGCTGAGACAGCTGCAGCATGTGCTGTCCGTGCTACCTTGCTCGCCTTGACCACACTTGCTGAGGCGGTCTCGCAATAGCGATTAGATTACAAGCGCTGCAGGTTGGCGCAAAAACATCCGGATGCGCCTCGAAGCTGCCACGAGGATATCAGCGCTGTCACACCATAAAGTTCACACTAGAATGGACCTGACGCAAAGTAACTATTGGGCCCCTTTATAACACACGTCTTACGCATGTACCAGGCATGGGAGAGGCGTAACGCCTTGTTTGCCAGATAAGCTGAGGAACTGACACAGAATGTTGACAGAAACGTGGGTGGCTCCTGTGAACAGGCTGCAAATGATGCATCCTTCGTAATTTCGTGCGTTACGCCGGAAGTTCGGACTGAAATGCCATGCCCCGAACCTGGCTTGGCGGATCATCAGTGGCCCTCACCTGGGTTGCTGGCTCAGTGTGATGTGAACTCTGAAAGCATTTGCAAGTCACACCTGCCACACTGGTTTAAGCAATAAACATCCCAAGCCTCCTCCAGTTCGCGCGCTGCTTGCTGGAGCAACCTGCATTTATGTCCCTCACTTCTAATGGAGGTCCCCCCAATCGGATAGAGCGGAATCGCACAAGGAATGCGGATTCTCATTGAAACGCAATTGTTCCCAGAGCCATCACGACACTAAGACAAAGCTACATGTGCTTAACGTTACGAACTTACAATCTCTCTGCACCTGCGAAATTCCTCTGAGATCCAGACCGACGCACCGACGCACCGACGCACAAATGCACCACTAACTAGCAACAGAAAGAATAGCGTAACAACAGTAGTAGTACTAGCAGCAGCACCAGTAGCAGCAGCAACACTGGCAGTAGCAGTAGCAGCAGACGTAGTCATAATAGTATGACTGTACTCCGTGCTGTCGCTGAAATCCATCTAATTCTGAGTTGTCGCACCGTCTCAGCTCCTCGTTCTCAGCTTCAACGCCGTCCACCTGCCTCAACATGCAGCGCAAGGCAAACTGCAACATGAAAGGCATCCAAATTGGTGGAAAAAGGCCGTGCCTCAGTTATCGCTCAACTCCGTTGGGGGAAAACAGAGTGCAAACGAGCTACAGCTGTAGAGGCTGAGATCGAGAGCCGGAAACAAGGAAAAAAAACTTCTTGGACATGGGTTCGTATTTCCACAACTAACCAAGCCACCCTTATTTCCACTCTAAATGGTACCTGCGTAACCCCAATATTGATAGCAGCTCATGTTGACTTGTGGAGCAGCCCGGCAAAATGCACCGCATTTAGGCTCCAAGCGCTTCAAGGTGCGCAATATGCGCCAAGCAGCCCTGCACACATCTCAGACGTCAAAACTCACACACCCCGCGCGGTTGTCCTCTCCAAGGCCCGCACCTCCAAGAGCTCTAGATGTTCCTCCTTTACCTGCAGGAGCTGGCTCTGCGAAGTCAACACTTAGACCTCAAGAATGTACTGACGCTGTTGCCTCGGAATTCATTGACGCAGCCTTGCAGCGCACCCCGAGATTGCATTGAGGATCGAGGGCCTATTCTTGTCAAGACAATCTGAGACGGAGACGCAAGTAGAGCAAAATCGCGGGTCTGGCTGGTCTGGTTGAGCCAATAAGCACGAAGGACAATGTATCGAAACATCGAAAACACAATTGCCGACTGCCAGGTTGTGACGAATCTGGAGCAGGTTAATATCACACCTTTCCGACACTTGAAATCACTCAAGGAACGCTAGCCCAGACCTGCTGTCCTAGCAAAAGGACTTTTCCAACCAAATCTCATGATGGTGGCGAAAGTCCCCTGATTCAAAGGTGCAGCTATGGTGGTCTCATGATGATGTTCCGGATGCACCTCTGGTGCTCTGGTACAGGTCTCATGTAATGGAGACTCAGTTACTAGAGATCACAACCGTTCGCTGACGCTGGCTCGGCAGAGCCCCCAGGTCGCAATTCTTTTAAAGCGACCAAATGACGTGGAATCTCGGTCCTGTGATCGATCGGTGCGTTAGCTTTACTATCAAAAACCCATCACCAACCCTCAGGCACCTCCAAAACAGTAGAGGGTTGTGTCGCTAGCATTCGCTAGCCATTGCTAGCTAAGAAAAAGGTAGCAGGTAAAACGTGCAGACTGTCACTCGCAAGACCCTTGCACTAGCACTTTACCTCACAACTACCTGAACGAGGAAACTTGCAGTAGCAAATTACACACTCCCTTAAAAAAAATCTCGCTGGCGGACTTTCTAGCTTGGTGCCAAAAATCCACTCTCTGTGCAACTGAGAGACGTCTTTAACCCGAGGCTAGCCATGCTCTCCGTGTAGCCCGAGAGAAGTCTCTAGCTTTCAGCTTGCCATCTCCCTTTCAACTACGGGGCGGGTAGGGTGGGAACTCAAAATTCCCCCCCCTTAACGTAGGGGGCTTGAATACAAAACGGCAACGGATATCTATCAAATATCTTGCCGTCTCAAAACTCCAGGGTTAAGCTATGAAAAATACTTGTTTGCAAAACTCTCGTTTTGTCGCGAAACACCTTCGACGTTTCGCTAGCATGGAAATTTAGCTAACACACACAGTCGTCCCTCGTACCTCGTTACGAGTGCATCTCTCATCCATCTCACTGGTCAAAAGAGCAGGGGACGGTCTTCACAAGCCCAAGCATCGACCGATGCGATCAACACTCGAGCAATCAAACTAACCCCCATATAGGGAGTGGAGGGTGGGAAAAAATGTCCAGCCCGATCGGATCTTTAGCCAAAATGGCCACGATCGGGATGATCAAAAAGGTATGCCCTTGCGATCGCTGCAACTGACCCACAAGTTCCTACCAGACCGCAAATTTGTGGATCAATTACTAAAGATCACAACCGCCCGGCGTGGGATCTCCGTCCGGTGATCGATCGATCTCTCATCGATCTCACTGGTCAAAAGAGCAGGGGAAAGTCTTCACAAGCCAAGCATCGATTGATGCGATCAACACTCGAGCAATCAAACTAACCCCAGGCCCTCAAACCCCTTTGAGGAACTGAACAGGCAAAACGCGCCAACCACAGCTACGACCGTACTGAAAATCTCCACACGAAGGGGGATCTTTTGTTTTCACCTTTCAACCAGTGGTCTTGAAGACCTGCTCGTGAGCAGTCGTAACGCTGCGTGTAGCGGCCGCTCTGTGGCGGCGAACCCCTGCACAAGTGCAAGAGTGGAAACCACCATCTTACACCCAAAAGAGCTGCACCGCGAGCCGTAGCTCAAGACCAGCACAGAGTGCTCCAGCGCTCAGCACACCTATCCTGCAAACTACAGCTGCATGCGGAGGCCGCTAGTGCATCCCTACTGTACTGTACACGCTGGCAAGAGCAGCAGTAGCACGGAGACCACAAGCTACAACTGTGAACGACTTCAGGCTCCCCTGCCACACACACAAGAATGTAGCAGTTTTTACAGATTTCATCTGCTTGCTCACTTGCAGAGAGTGAGTAGGAGGAGGCCTCCGTGTTGGCACCCGTGTACCACACCTCCCCTACCTGGGCAGGGTTGAAGAGTGCTGCTCGGTAGTGCCCTGACTGTATGTCATTCCCAATATGGACCTTAACGGGGTCAATCCTATATGGGACCAATTGACACCCCCGTGTTTCAGGGTTGGTTGTCGTACTAATTGAGCGCGGCCACCATAAACAGGCGCCGAAGCACGTCGGTAATCGCTGCCGAGCGGCGGCGGTAGCTCTACACGGCGGAGATCAAGCCGAAGGAGTGGACAATCACGAAGAAAGCCGGCCACCCACTTAAAGGATGATTCAAGCAGACCAGGCTCCAGCAGCGCTCCTCCTGGCGGATGGGAACCTGTCCATAGGCCCTCCTCTCGCCCAAAACCCAACCAGCGACGGGGCGAGCGCCCGGCCAAGAAGAACTTGACAGCCACCAGGCGCGTGTCCATGGAGGGGAGCTGGAGCTTCTGGGTGACGTGGATCCCATTGTGCTGTATCGCTGTCGACACCTCCGTGATCCAGCAGTCTGCACCCAAGAACTTGGACAAGAGCTCGACCGTGAAGAGGGGGCTCTTCTCGACGCCCTCCATTGTCGCCTTCCAGACTTCACACGGAGGAGCTACCAACTACACGAACGACCTTGTCGGAACTCCCGTCCCGTTCTGGCAGCAACATATGATCACTGTGTTGTTTGCGCTCGGGAGGCCAGTGATGGGAACGTGAGATCTCGCAGACCATGGACACGCCGTTCATGATCTCTTGGACAAGGCTCTGATCGCAGCAGCGCGCGGCCGCCAGCATTTGCTCCCATAGAGCTACGTGGAATAAAGAGCCCAGTTGGACAGGGGCATCATCAGGAACACCACGTACACAACACCGTAGATGAGGATCAGGAAGAGCACGTAGGCGAGCATCCGAACCGCGCTCGGCAAGAAGAGCTGGGCCCTTTGCCGTGAGGCGCTGCAGAACTTGCCGAAGATCTCCTTCCCAAGGAGGATTGTGTGTGAAGGTGCGCATGAGCTTCCACAGCGTGCTGAACAGCCTGACCCGGCTCATACTGTTTGTCCAGCAAGGGCGCTACGAGCGATTTCTTCATCTGGTAGCCGGCCAAGATGGCCATTTCGCCCGAGCGCTTGGTGATGGTCCTGCACAGGGATGAGAGTGCCAGCAGGTCTTTTGCGTTTTGCTTGGGGAGTCACCAGAGCGAAAGTCAGCGAGTGCCAATCCTCGGTCTCATCACCAGCGCCTCCCTTTTGATTATAGGGAGCTTAAAGCCGAGGAAATCCGCGAAAACGCGATCGTCTGCACTCATATTCTGGACGCCAATGACCGTGTGAGCAACCAGGACCACGCGATCGCCAGTCCACGGCTCCGTCATGCGGTAGGAGGTTTTTGCGTCGAAGGTGATCATATGGTCTTCGAACTGGTGGGTGGCGCCAGCAATGATCTGCCCTGAGATCTGGCGCTGAAGGTCTCCATCCAGAGCCTCCACCCTGTACAGACCACCTCCCTGAAAATCGGAAAGAGCAAAAACAATAGTAGGGAGTTATAGACATCTTTGCGAGCCTCAGTCTGTTGGTTGAACAACACAAAAACCGAAAAGGGAATGTGATTCGGAGCCATCTTGCGAACGAAGGCAGTGAGCGTCCTCGCGCGCGCCGGCAGAGCACGCGCGTTTGGTCTGAGCCCAGTGACGCCACTGCGCCGAAAGCCACAAAGAACGAGCGTCCCTTGGATCTGGACCCTGGCTTGCATTGATCTTCAGCAGGAAGACTGGAGACCAAGCTGAACACCTGAGCTCGAGAGAGCTGTTTGCCTTCAAGGATCTCCGTCGCGAACCGCTCGAGCGAGCGCACCGCCGAGCGGTCATTCAGCCATGTGAGCACGTCGTCCGTGCCCGCGTCACTGGATCATTGGTTATTGGCTACCTGTCATAGGGCGGGGAGCCCCACACAGAACTGGCAGCCAAGGGAGGAGTTGTAGTAGTGGCATCTGCAACAATTCTTGACCTTGACCGCTGCCTCTGAGATGAGCTTCCACTTGTTCTCGGGGATCCCGCTGTCTCGGGAGATCTTTTTCAGAGGATCCTCCTGCTTGTCATCTTTCTTGGCGGATCCGTGCCAAGTCCGCTTCAGCCGGCGCCTCTTCTGTTGATCATCCACAGGCGCGTGAGGACATCTTGGCACCGATCGACGCCATAGCGTCCACAGAGCGCACGCTCTGACCCGGATCCATGGACTTAGAGCACGCGGCGCGGGCGCTGGATGTCACACGAGCCTCTTATATGTTGTGGGATTTCTTGATCAGGTACGTCAAGTTCTTGTCGTCCGGGCCCTTGAGCGTCTACGTGTGATACATCGATCAGGTGCACCAACCTAGAATCCAAATGGCAGCGGATATATCAATCCAAGCAAGTAGATCCGCATGCTTGGGGTTCCTACCTTGGTGCTCAACAAATTGTCATACGCATACCGCAATTTCGGGCCGCATGCCAAGGTCAAGCTACACACACCGAAAGCACGTAATCTTGCGCCAGGTTCAGAATGGCTCAGAGCTGAGCCACCAAGGAGAATACGCTGCATCTTGTGCGTCCTATCTCGGTAACATGCTCCACCAGGTGATGCTGTGACCGTTGATGGCCAGCTTCATCAGGCTTCTCGCACCCAAAAAAGCTGTAGCAATGTGATTCAACTTAAACACCTCAACAGCGGGGGGCAGTTCTTGGCAAAGGAGGCAGGTGGGCCTCCCAAAAGCTATGCAAACGCTCATTTTGTCAGGCTGTGTTTGTCTTTGCATTGTGCTTCGCACGTCTCTCAAGGGTGAAGCCATGCCCGCCGACAGCCTTGCAAAGAAAGCTCGGAAAGAGCTTTATGTTGAGGCAGGGAACTGCTCCACTCACTCGCTGCTGCCCAGCAACCTAGCCACGGTTCACGTCAATGACAGACATGATAGCCTCAGGAAGCTGTGGCAACCAATTCCTGTCTTGCAAGGGCCGAGGGATACAAAAACATACGAGGATGCATTAGGAGCTGGCTTGGAAAGCCTCTTGAAGCTCTTGAAACCTGCTTGCAAAGCAAACAAAATAAAGTCAAGACTGCCAACCACTGCCCAAGCATTGGGCACCTTCTTTTTGCTTCAAGGTCCCCAGGATTCTTGTCTGGATGAACCTGCTTTGCCAGCTGCTTGTACCGCTTCCTGGCAAACAGGTTGAAGAAGCAATCCCGCAATGTACATGAAGCAACCCATGCTGCCCTGCAAGCCTGACTGCCGCCACCTCACGTGTTTCCGCCTGATTCTTGTGGGGTCTGCTGCTTTCCAAGCCGCATCTATGCCACCAAAGCTGGGAACGCAGCCATCTCCAGGGCTTGGAAATGCTTGGCCAGCCAGCACGGCGGCCTGCCCCTAGGGGGCGGGCGTTCCAAAGCCTCCCGGATTCCTGGCAAGTGTTAAGAGTTCACAAGCGCAACATCGCCAACCAAGCTGGCACTGAGACGCCCACTTTTCAGCAAGTCGTCTGAATCGTGGCGCGGCCTCAGCATTTCACATCGGCTCAAACGTGCGCACACGGATCTGCTTGCGTGCGTATTGCTTGTTTGGAGTGAGATCTCACGACGCTGCTGCTGCTGCTGTTGGAAAGGAGGAGGAGAGGGTTGGCGACGGCCATGGCTATTACTTCTTGACGTCTACTGTACCTACTCAACCATCACTGTCGCTGCTGCTTTCACGGCAACTACTGCTGCGAATATTTTACCTTAACCCAATACTTCAAAACCATCATGCCCAAAAACCAAGAGTCGCTTGACAGGCTTCATGCCCCAAGAGCGAAGACCTAGTAGACTGAAACTATGCATAAAGCTCACATTTGGTCGTGATCGCAATTGCGATGGCAATGGGGATGGTGACGGTGATAGCGATGGTGATGGCAGTGATGATTCTGATGATGGTGATGGTGGTGATTGTGGTGATGATGGTGATGATGGAGATGGTGGTGATGGCGGTGGTGATGGTAGTGAGGGTAGTGATGGTAGTGATGGTGATGGTGATGGTGGTGATGTGGTGATGGTGGAACTGTGATGGCAGTGACGGCAGTGTTGGTTGTAGTGGGCGGTGTGGGCGATGCTGGTGGCGCTGGCGGCTCTGGTGGTGCTGTTGGTGCATTCTGTCTGGGCCTGGGCGCTTTGCTTGCTATCACCCTGTCCCTGCGAGGCACATCATTCGCATTGAAGTTCCTGAGGACCAGCTGCAACGCGAGAATTTCGCACAGTACTTGGTGAGCATATTCCT